GAATTTGACGGGCTATCCGAATCTCTATTCACTTCGTCAAAACCAACAATTTATAGTGATACTATATCGAAAATACTTAGTCTAGTTATTTTTGGCCGGACGGATAGCTGAGCTGTTTTCCGGATAGGCAAATTGATGTGGTCTATGTAGTGTGTCGTATCAGAATCGCGCCATTTCGAGAGTTAGGAAAGGTCTTTAGAATTTCGTTTCTCTGAGGACGGTAACTAGAGGCGTGAGAGATAAAACAGGGTGCTGCGATTCACCGAATATTTATGTTTAGTGGAACCGTGGTAAATGAAAATGCTCGTTGGTCAGTCAGGTCCTTTCCTTCAATGGCCTGTGGATCGCAGATGGANGATGGATGTTGCTGTCTCTAATATTCATATTTGCTTTTCATTAAGATATTCATGGTGGAAAAGACATATGTTCAGTACCGAAAAGCTTTTTCTGTGAAGATAATTTTCTTTTAATTTGGTTTGATGACGCAACAGCGGATGATATTCCAAAGGATCTATGTCGAATAACTCAAACTGCCGACGATACCTTCGAATGTTTAGCTATCATAACGTCACTTTATGATAAAAGAATATACTTGGTATTATCGTCGTTATTCGCTGATATAATTCTCCCACTTGTTCACGATGAAATTCAGATTGAAGCCATTTATGTAATCGACAAAAACATGTGTAGTCAGAATAGCGATTGCCACACTAACTATTCAAAGCTTTGTGGTGTCTTTGCTAAAGTTGATAAATTATTGCTAGCTTTAACTGATCGTCTGTCAAATGATAAAAAGGGACTGTTTACATGGTCGTGTACTCAATGCCATTTAGAACAAATGTATCTACATAGTTCGCACAGAATGTTCGAATTGCTATCCTGTGGTAAAACGATATCCAACTCAAGTCTAAAATATGCCGTAAAGAGTATCGGTATTCTTTTATTAAATACAAATACGAACATAATTGGTAAGAGTCTTCGTCTTTACGAATGTCAAACATTCACAGATATTGATGAATGTATTATTTATGTTAAAAGTCAAACAAAACAATTATTTTTAATTATTTCTAACATGAGTGATAAAGTTATTTTGCAACTTCAAAAACTATCACAAATTAAATTTATATATTTATATGATTGTAAATTAGAAAAAAACACAAAAAACATCCGAGGAAACATTTCTGATTTAAATGAATTAAAAAAGTTATTGATCGAAGATATTAAACAATATTCTCAAGAATTATTGTATATTACGTCTATTACGGTCTTCAACGCTACTAAAACAAAGGTAAAAAACAAAAATCAAGTTCATTTTATTTGGTTTCAATTCATAATCAATATGCTTCTCAGTCTGACACCAAAAGATGGTGCCGAAGAAGAAATGATACTTGAATACTGTTTTCAATCTGATAAATCAGAGTTATCAAAAGATACGGATATTGAATGGTACATTAATAATAGTAGTATTTATCATTTGATGAATCAAGCTTTCCAAACTGACAATATAGAATTTTTATTTAAAATTCAGTATTTTATTATCAATCTACACAATGACATAAACAAACACTATCATCCGTTATCAACATATCAAAATCGTCTTCTACTTTATCGAGGTCAACTTATGATTGCTAACGATCTACAAAATTTAGAAGAGAACATTGGTGGTTTTATTTCAATAAACTCTTTTCTTTATACTACACGATCACTGAATACTGCACGTCAGTATGCTGGTAACGGTTCAGATCAATCCAACTTAAAATCGGTATTATTTGAAATAGAAATTGATCCAAATACAACAACAAAATCATTCGCAAATTTAAATCGAAAAGACAGCAACGAAATATTATTTA